CCTTTAAACTTTTCTCCCTCTCACTTTAAAACTAAAGTCGTTAGTATTTGACAGTTTTCATTCTGGGGAAGTGTCTGACTGCCCACCCTGTCCATGCTTGTCGATGTTAATATACTCCTATCAGGTTGCCCCTCATCTACAAAACTGTAGTGAAAACAATCCAAGCTTGTCCAACCTTTCCACGTAGCTAATACACTCCAACCCAGGCAACATCATGGTAAACCTCTCCAAAACCTCCACAGCAGAAGGATGACTAGAACTGCACACAATACTACAAGTGTGGTCTAACTAAAGTTTTATACAGCTGCAACATGACTTGCTGACTGTCATTCTCAATTCCTTGACTGATGAAGGCAAGCATGCTGTATACCATCTTTGCCACCTTATTTACTTGTGATGTTAGTTTCAGGGAACTATGTAATTGTACCCCATGATTTCTGTGCATATCAATGTGCCTAAGGGTCCTGCCATTTACTGCTTACTTTCCTCTTGCATTTGACCTCCATAAATACATCACCTCACACCTGTCTGGATTACAACCAGACCCCAGTATATTATAGAGATAACCTAGACCGTAACGTTTTATATTTTTTAAAATGCAAGTGTAAGATACTGTGTTCCAGATATGACTTGATCGGTGCACTATTATGCTTTAATCAAAACACATTTTATTCTTACAACACAGTTAAAATACAACAAAAAGAAGAATTAGCATAACTTTACTCTGTTGAAAATCTTAATGGGATAATGTATTATTTGACCACTATTCATCAACTATTCCAGTATAGGCAGCATTGCATGTTCATAACCTTGGCAAAGGCAATTCAGCAACACAGTTATTATTCTTACATGCTGTCTGTCTCCAGTCTAGTAGAAAGAAAGAAACGATCTGCTCCTTTTGATTTTTGAAAGGAAACATCTCTGTCTAAGACTTCAGTCTAGCAGCAGAGAACTCAAGCTTTCAGCTCCAGAAGCTAGCAAATACCACTAACTAACTGAAAGCAAAATTGTTCTGGGTCTGTGTGAACCTGACTCTGCCCACTCATGATTCTTTTGTATTATTTTAAAAAGAAACACCTAGGGAGAACTCAAAGCTTTTTACCAGCTGCCTGTCTGAAGGAGACATTTTGGTGCCACTGTGACAACATACCTCTGCAAGAGAAGCAGGACAAAACACATTTCTTAAAAGCAAAGTATCAACTGTTCCTAAAATGTTCTCCCATTGAAACTTTGATCACCTGGCCAGGGTCATTCCTCAATATAAGGTCTGGTACAGCACCTTCCCTAATTGGACTAGCTACATGTTGTTTCAAGAACATTGTTGGATGCGCCTAACAAATTCCACCTATCTAAGCCCCTGGAACTAAGGGAGTACCAGTCAATATTGGGAAGTTAAAATCACCACCAAGACAATTTTCTGTTGATTTTACATCTTTCCATGATCTATTTACATATCTATTCCTCCATATCCCACTGGCTGTTGGAAGGTCTATTAGTATAGCCTCTTCATGGTGATTGCCCTGTTTTTCTTTTATTCCTGAGTGCTACACCATATGGTCCGCTGGATGAGACCTCCAAGATGTCTTCTTTTAGTGCAGCTGTGACATTCTCCTTTGTCAGTTATGCAACTTCCCCCACCCTTTTTACATTCCTCTCTATCATGCGTGAAACATCTAAACCCTGGAATGTTAAGCTACAACTGCTGTCCTTCTCTCAACCAAGGTTCTGTCATGGCTTCAACATTGAGTTCCATGTAATAATCCAGACTGTAAGATCACCTACCTTATCTGTTATAGTCCTTGCATTGAAATAACCACAATTCAAACCATCAATCCTGCCATGTTCCCTACAAGTTTACCACTTACAAGCTTCCTTCCAACTCATACATCATCCTGACCTGGAATGCTATTACTGTTACTTCTTCATTGCTGCCTCACAGTCTAAAACTCTATCTCTAATAGAACCGTTCATATATCTGCACCTTGGACAGCAGCAGTTCAACTAGGTTTCTCATCACCATCCCTAGGGCAATTACAATTGGGTAATAAATGCTGGTCTTGTCCCCAGTGCCCAGATTCCATGTATGAACATAAAGGAAAATCCACTGAACATTCGGAGAGTTATTGTGTCTACGTCCTGTCCAAAAATTATTGATTCCACACAAACATGTTGAGAAAAATAATACATAGTTTGATCATGATAGTTATGTGTTAGTTTTAACATTTTCTGCTTTTTTGCTAGAGTGCGCTTATTTTCAACAATGTTAAAGTCCGCGGATTCTGGATGACACAGTGGAAACGAGATCATGGGCATGGTGAGTGGAACATTGAGGCAGAAATCGACATTAATAATTTTGCACATATTGATGAAATTAATTCTGATGGGGAATATGACTGGGATCAATGGCCATCTAGGTGCTGTTCAGAATGAAGAAAAATGTGTTACAATTGTAAGGAGTTGAGTGGGGATGTTTGTCTTAAAGAGGACTTTTTTCTCTATTCACAATGTTGATTTTTCTGATAATTTTAAGGCTATTGAACTTGTTTGTCTTGTTCAATGCAATACACAATAGGAAAATGATAAGAAATTAAAGACCAAAGAACTTTAGAAGTTTGGACAATTCAAAGATGTCTTCATGTATGTATATCGTGTTTAGGTACAGCTCAGTAAGTCTGTGCAGTACATAAATTTACAAAAATGCTCAGGCAAATTTTGAGATGATGGGAGAATTCAACCGTAACAAGAGGACTGGTGTAATTACAAATGAAGTTTACACATTTGGCTGAAAATGAGTAGAATAGGGCACATGAAGTTGGCGTTTTGGACTAGACCAGACCCCCTCAAAATATTTTAAGAAGGTACCCTAGACCCTAACAATTTCTTATTTTAAAGGCAAATGAAACGTGATTGTTCAAACTACTTTAAGTTCAATAATTTGTTTAAACGCTATAGTTAAAATACAACCAAGGAAAGAGGAATTTAGAATAACTTAACTCTGTTGGAAAATTTGACAGAATAATAGATACAGTATCTATTACTAATTAACTGTTCCAATATAGTAATATCCCATAAACACACTGTTTGGCGAAAAGACAAATTCAGAAAAACAGATTTTGTGTCACAGGCAACCTAGGAAAAGAACGCCCAGCTTTTGGTTGTAACTGTGGGGAGAAAATAACCTCCAATTCTTCAAGCCCGCAACAGCAACTTCTTAAAGCTAAACCTAAAAATTAAAAAAAAACCTAGAAATCCTGGTCTGTGAGAGCTGGTCACACCATTCCAGGCTGCTTCTGTTGTTCCAACTTTTTTTTTTAAAAAAGAACCCAATGCCTCACTAGCTGTTTACTCTAGTAGTTTTGGTAGACTTCTCATCACCTTTACCTTCCAAACTCTCTTCAAAAAAAGCCAGAATAAAATAACCTCTTAAAGCCACATTGTCACAGTTGGTAAGTCCTTTCCTCACCATGCTGGGATTATTGTCCAAATTACATAGAGTCAATAGTGCTTGTAAGCTACCCCTATCAGCAGAAAATGCAGGAGATAAATGGCCTGTGAGTGGGAGCAACTGAGAAACTACGTAGCTGTAGTGACTCTTTTGCTCAGGTCACTGTCAGCCAAGAGGTGAACCTTGGTTGTCAGGGAGGTATGTGTCAGCTGATTCTGGATGTGTACTATAGGCAGAGCCCAGAGAAGGTGGCTGCAGGGAGGAAGAGGCCATTGTGTCAGGGCATAATAGGAAGGGTGGGAGAGGGATACTGCAAATGCATGAATGAAAAGAAGGTTGTGTGTGGGAGAAGAAAGAAGCTGCAAGGGCGAGGTAGTAGAGAAAAAAAGAGAACAATTTTAATTCTGTCAACAAAGGAATACTCAGCTAACAGGGAGATGGAAAAACTTGAAATTACTGATATAATGATTTCCTTGGAAATGAATGTGAAATTTGAAACTGAAAGCTGCATATGTTCAGGAGCTACTATCTGGGGAGTAATGGAGTGGATGCTTTTGTGTTAAGCACTGTACCAGTTGTTAAATTTTATATCTGAGTGAAATCAGAGATGCAAGAAAAAGATGCAGCATATCAACTGCTAGTTAAATGTACCAGATTTGAGCATGCACAGTGGAAATTTGTTGGCCATGACCTCAACAGACTGCAGAGGATGTGCTTAGAGTGATGGACTTTTTGTGTTTAGAAGTGTGTATCGGCTATTTTGAAACACCATGTGTTGCTAACTTATGTCTGTTGTCTGTTACAGAGACATTGCTCCAAAAAAATCAAAGCTGGGAACTAACTATTCAGGGTTTGTGTATTTTCAAAAGGGCACACAAGAAGGAAAGGATGGAGTGTTAGCTTTGTTAGTACGGGATGGAATAAGTACAATAACATGAAATAATTTTGGATTGGAAAGTGAAGAATTCATATGGTGGAGGTAAGAAATAAGGGAAAGAAAATATTAGTGGATGTAGTATAGGCTCCCTGACAATAACTACACAGTTGGACTGGGAATAAATCACGAGATAATTAGGGCATGTAACAAAGATAGTATATTAATCATGGGTGATTTTAATTTTCACGTAGATTGGGAAAGTCAGATGGACAGAGGTAGCTATTAGGAAGAATTTATAATGTATATCTAGGACAATTTCCTCAAACAATAAGTTGTGAATTCAACCAGGGGTCAGGTTATTTTGGATTTGGTAATGTGTAATGAGACAGGTTTAATAAATTGTCTCAGAATAAAAGATCCCAGAGGGAACAGTGAATATAACATGGTAGATTTTTGCATTCTGTTTAAGAGTAAGAAACTTGGGTTGGAAACAACTGTGCTAAACATGTAATTACATGGGAATGAGGGCTGAGTTGATTGGAGTAGATTGAGATAGGAGTTCAGCAGAAAAGGTTGATGAACAATGACTTTTTTTTAATAATTCAGGACTCACAGCAAAAAAAATTCCCAGTGAGAATAGGGATAAAACTACCATGGTTAAGCAGGGTGGTACCAAATTGAAAGAAAAGCAAACAATGTGGCAACAATTAGTAGTAAGACAGAGGGTTGGAAAAATTTTAAAGACCAAGAAATGAAGACCAAATAAAAAGAGGAAAATAAACTGAGAGCAAACTAGTGAGTAACATAAAAAGAGACAGAAAGAGCTTATTTAAATTTATGAAAAGGAGGTTCCAGAGCGAACTATGTGGTAAATGGAAAAGCCCTGGCGAAAATTGATGCACAGAGAGATCTGGGTGTTCAGGTCCATTGTACCCTGAAGGTCGCTACGCAGGTCGATAGAGTGGTCAAGAAGGCATACGGCATGCTTTCATTCATCGGACGGGCTATTGTGTACAAGAGTTGGCAGGTCATGTTGCAGTTGTATAGGACTTTGGTTCGACCACATTTGGAATACTGCGTACGTTTCTGGTCACCACATTACCAAAGGGATGTGGATGCTTTGGAGAGGGTGCAGAGGAGGTTCACCAGGATGTTGCCTGGTATGGAGGGCGCTAGCTATGAAGAGAGGTTGAGTAGATTAGGATTATTTACATTAGAAAGATGGAGGTTGAGGGATGACCTGATTGAAGTCTACAAAATCATGAGAGGTATAGACAGGGTGGATAGCAAGAAGCTTTTTTCCAGAGTGGGGGACTCAATTACTAGGGGTCACGATTTCAAGGTGAGAGGGGAAAAGTTTAAACGAGATATGCGTGGAAAGTTCTTTACGCAGAGGGTGGTGGGTGCCTGGAACACGTTGCCAGCAGAGGTGGTAGAGGCGGGCACGATAGCATCCTTTCAGGTGTATCTAGACAGATACATGAATGGGCAGGGAGCAGAGGGATACAGATCCTTGGAAAATAGGTGACAGGTTTAGATAGAGGATCTGGATCGGCGCAGGCTTGGAGGGTCGAAGGCCTGTTCCTGTGCTGTAATTTTCTTTGTTCTTTGAGGTCAGAAACAAGAGCAAACATTGGCCTCTTGGTGAAAGAGGCTGGGATAATATTAAGGGGGAGCCAGGAAATGGCAGAGGATTTGAACAAATACAAGCAAAATACCACAAATGGTGGAAAACTCAACGGTGGCTCAGTGCTTAGCCCTGCTGCCTCACAGCGCCAGGGACCCGGGTTCATTTCCACCCTCGGGCGACTGCGTGGAGTTTGCACATTCTCCCCATGTCTCTGTGGGTTTCCTCTGGGTGCTCCGGTTTCCTCCCACAGTCCAAAGATGTGCAGGTTAGGTGGATTGGCCATGCTAAATTGCCCGTAGTGTTCAGGGATGTGTCGATTAGGTGGGTTGTAGGGGGATGGGTCTGGGTGGGATGCTCTGAGGTTCGGTGTGGGCTTGTTGGGCCGAAGGGCCTGTTTCCACACTATAGGGATTCTATGATTAAAAGAAAATGCTGGAGAGACGCAGCATATCTTACAATACATGTAGGAGAGAGAATCTGTGCAGTTGGAAAATATATTTTGAGGTAATGAGGCAAAAGGCCTTGGACCTGATGGAGTCCATGCCAGGATATTAAGGGAAGAGATATTTGATGTACTGGTAGTAATTTTCCAAGAATCCTTAGCTTCTGGAAAAGTTCCAAAGAATTAGAAAACTGCCAATACCCTTATTCAAAAAGGGAAGGCAACAAAAAAACAGGCAACTGTAGGCCAGTTAGCTTAACATCGGTCACTGGGAAAATTTTAGAGTCAATTATAACAGAAGTAATAGCAGAGCATTTAGAAACTAAGATAATCAAGCAGAGTCAGCATGACTTAATGAAGAGGAAATCATGCCAGACAAATTTATTAAAGTTCTTTGAGGTGGTAAAAAGTAGTGTAGATAAAGGAAATCAAGTAGATGTAATATATTTGGACTTTCAAACGGCATTCAATAAGCTACTGCTCAGAAGCCTACTTAAATTAATAAGCAAGCATGTGGTTGGATGTGGTGTATGGAAAGGGGATTGGCAAACTAATAGAAGAATAAGAGTTAGGAGAAAGGGGGCAATTTCAGGAAGGCAACCCAAAAACTAGTAGAGTGCCACAAGGATAGTACCGGGACCACAACTATTTCCAATTTATTTTAATAACTTGGATTACAGAAGGGAAGGTACTGTTGCCAAGTTTGCTAGTGACACAAAAATACAAAGGAAGACAAGTAGTGAAGATGACTGAAGAATCTACAGAGAGATATAGACAGGTAAAGTGACTTGGTAGATGGAATATCACGTGGGAAAATGTGAGGTTAAGCACTTTAGCAGGAAGAATAGAAGAACAGAATATTATTTAAATGGAGAAAGGCTGCAGTAAGCTGCAACACAGAGGGATTTGTGGTCTTCATG